TCCTCAAGAACAATGGATGGTACATCATCTCCATCAAGGCTAACTGTGTCGACTCTACTGCTGCCCCCGAGGCTGTCTTTGCCAGTGAGATTGAGAAGCTCAAGAAGGACAAGCTGAGGTAAGGACACATCACGAGTGTGGTTTAGTCATTCCTCTGGCCTCTCAGACCCAAGGAGCAGCTTACCTTGGAGCCCTACCACAGAGACCATGCTGTGGTTATTGGTCAATACCGACCTATGAAGCATAGGAAGGCCGAGTAATGCTGTACTCGACTATGCTGTTGTCTGGACACTGAAATCCACTAGTCACTATCTGCAGCCTGGAAGGCGTTGATCCCTTGGAATCTCCGTTAACGGCTAACGTTTCCTCTACCATTACTCATTGCATGTTGCGTATTACTATTAACGAAGTTACTCATCATTGACAACAGACGCTATTGACTTATCGTCTATTGAATAAAATGTGGCTCCACGGCGTCTTCTCATGACTCTATGACGTCGTTTCTATGACCCATTGTAGTCATATCTTCCGAATGACGTTATTTCTATTAAATAGGAATAAGAGGATGATAACGATTCGTCTTTATACAGTATAAAGACGAGTATAAATTATACTAATCGATTTTGACGTCATAGCCCAATAATACCCGATCATCATAGAATTGTATACGACTGATATGGTGGTTAAGACGCTTGCGAATCAGCTCATACCCCCTCCCCCGATGATATGCGATCGTTACTAATTTGTTCGATTGTCCGTCGGGCTGTCGTCGTTGTTGTGTCGACATCGCTAAGAGCAGTAAATACAGTAGCCTTTTCCAGTGAGGATATGGGAGGTAACTAGGTAGTCATGTTTGGTTATGGTCTATTACTCCACTTGAAAGGGGGCAGCATAACAACAAGTTGATTATAACACACATGTGTAGTCACCAGCAGACTCCTGAGGAGTACCGAGAAGGAGCTTGCCAAGGTAGAGACGAAGAGAGCTAAGGAAGAGGCTGAGCGACTAAAGGTAGGAGACGATGTGATGGAGGTGTACTGAATAATATCGCTGCGATATTATAAGTTTTGATGGTTTTTCTATCGGTTTCTACATCATCGCCAAGTTCCTCGCATCCGTTCGTTCCTTCTACACCATGTGTGATCCCGTCTAAGTGGACCAACTCGTATGAAATATTCATTCAAGGTAATCAGGCTACTACCTCTGGAGCCTAGCGTGTTGGTGTGGAGCTATCGACTATCTAGCCTTATATTGATGTATTCAAATATGGCTTCTATCCTTATGTTTGGGTTGGTCCTGAACGTGTTGTTATGCTCTTCCTCAGTCTTCCTAAGATCCTCTTCGATGTTCCCTGGAAGCTTCAAGTGCCTTACCCTGGTGAGAGTTGGATCTCATTTACTATGGAGTCCTTGATTATTACTACACGATCAGTAGTGACGAGTGTTTGTAGCTGTCTGTGGTTACTCCACCCTCTGTCGCGCTTATTGTGTTGATAGTAGCTCAATCTAGTAGTCTAGGCGTTTTTGAGTATAATTTCATGTCCAGAGCAGTAGAGTTGGTAAAGCAATACGCTTCTACTGGGCGTATTAAGGTGAGGTTTGGTGGTAATGTTATTCATATGCTGAGGTTGTGGTGGCAGGTCCCTCAATTTGGGGATACCGTCCATAATGACAGTTGTGTGCTGTCTATGGATACACCATTGTATCCTGTAGAGGGTCTGTATGTATCGTTGGAGGAAGGTTGGAAGGGGTATGGTAGGCCTTTTCTCGATGTTGATATCAATAACCACGACATAAGCAGTGCATCAGGAGCTGTGGTGTACTTACATATCAATACTAAATTGGTAGTTAGAGTAGCAATAATGTATAGAGTTTAGAGTATATCAGGATGGTTTAGATTCCAAAAAAGAAGGAGGATGATGATGAGGAGAAAGAGCCGACCAAGTTGGCAATAGGGGTCCAAGGGGGATTTGATGGTGGCAAGGATTATGAGGAGGAAAAAGTAAAGGAGGTGTGGTATGAACTCGAAATTAAGGTTATTTCAGGATTATAGAATTGCAGTAGTCCCCTATTGTAATGGGAAGGCGGATACTGAGTGGTTGTATCTGTCCCTGGATGACCTGTCGGACCTGCCCGAGATCGTGGGTGAGGCTGTTTTTGCCATTATCGATCATAAGGGTGCCGAGGATGATGCCGCTGTGATGGCTTGGGAGGCGGGGGAGGAGGAGCGGCCTGTCAGCAAGTACTAAGAAAGGGGGAGAGTGTTTGGATGTGCGTGGTAGGTATGCGGCTGAGCTAGTTCAGGAGGTGCCGGTGAAGAGGATAAGCCCTAACTCGGCTGATTGGTATTGTGAGAAGTCTGGGGATAGGGAGAATCTTTGGTTGAATCTCTCTGACGGATATATAGGTGAGTATTGACACTGTAGGGGGGGATATGCACATGGTCAACTACGTGTGTTGGTGACATTTTGGGAGCAAATTTCTGTACACTTCTATCCGAATTCAATAATAAGTGGAAAAACTCCTGAGTTCGGCTGAAGTAACCACACATATTCCCCAACACTGCGTATTGATTGTCAATTCGGGACTCGATACTTCTCGTGTGGACTTTGGAAAGATTCCCAACTGCGTTGGAGTAGAATAATTATTCTGAAATAAAATTGCATGTGAGGTAGTTGTATGTACCCTGTGGATGACGATGTTGTAATTTTCGACTATGTTGTCCTTAGGTGGCGGTAGGCGTAATTGGGACGGTAGTGGTGGTAGCAATGGGGCATTGGAGCATTATCTTGAGATGAAGGATCAGGGCAAGATGTACCCCTTGGTGGTTAAATTGGGCACTATCACGCCTAAGGGAGTGGCTGATGTATTCTCCTATGCTGAGGATGAGGATACTATGGTCAGTGATCCGTAATAAAGGGCAGTGGGGAAAATACGCAATATGGAAATATTGGGAAATTGTTGTTGGTTTTGTACACTTCTACCCGAACTTGTATAATTAGTGAGGAAGACCTTGAGGAGCTTGGCTGAGGAAAACCAGCATGTAGAGCGTAAACAGTGTTGGAGTATATGTTGGCTCTCTTTTAGTTATGGGAGATTCGATACGAATTTGGGTAGAAGTGTACAGAAACCAATGAGAATTTCCCAAAACTTGCTCGGAATTTTAATATTGTCACACCGATTATAACACTGAATGATGGGTTGTAATGAGATGGAAGGGGTGATGATGTTATTGTCTTCCTCCTCTCCTTACTATAGGAAGCTGGCACAGCATCTGGAGCATTGGGGTATCGACGTGATGAAGATGTCCAAAACGGATAAGTCTATGGCCGAGATGGAGGTTGAACTTAACAAGGAGTTTGCCTTTGATCGGATCACTGAGGCTGGCAAGGAGTTGGATAGAGTGCGAGGCCCGGGTTTGGTGGGGCTTAGGAATCTCGGGAATAGCTGTTATATTAATAGCTTCCTACAGCTGATATTTAGTGGTAAGAGTAGTTGAGGGGGAAATTGTGGGAGGAGTGGTATGGTATTGTTGTTGTCAGGTAGTGTGGAGGCTTTGAAGAGGAGGTATGTGGATGAGAATGGTGTGTTGAGGAGGAGTATGGCTCAGAAGGGAGCGGTAGTGATATGCTGCACTTGATCATGACTTGTATGATAATATGGTGCTCAGTTGGATAATGAAGGGAGCCCACAGAGAACTGTGTTGGAAGTGGCTAAGCTGACCAACGCCCTCAATGGGACGAGGTACTGTCCTCCGATACCACAGGGAGAGGAGGAAAGGAAGTTGGACCCTTTTAATGGTATCATGAACGATTATACAGGGGTGAAATATTCCGATGGGTGTACTGTTAGGTATGTTGGCACCAGTTAGTCTACGGAAGCACTTTGGCAAGGGTCATCCCGACTTCTCGACCTCATCACAGCAGGATGCAGCGGAGTGAGGGTTGAGAAGTGTCCAAGGTGTGGTATTGAATTCCCGTGTAGATATCTACTTTATT